GATATTTTCGTATTTTTTAGTGCCAACCTTGCTTTGCAAAATACTCCAGACACAATAGTCCAACGGACTGGTATCCGGAGATTTTGGTGGCCATTATGAGCTGGAAATGAAGCGAGGAACCTTATTTTGTAACCATTTTTGGGTGGCGCGTGCTGAGTGCGATGGTGCAGAGTCCTCTTGGAATGCCCAAGGTCTGCGGCCAAAATGTTTGCGTACCCAAGTCTTTAATACACCCTCCAAAATATATTTTTGCTATAATATTCGGCATTTATTCTGATGCCACGGTCGATTAATACGAGCGGAGAGCGACCATCGGCTGTTGTGGCGGCCCACACATCTCTCTTTTGAGTCTATTTTCTTTGTGTTGTGGTGTAAGTTCTTGCACTTTTTGGAATTTCAATGGTTTTACCCCGAGCTGATTTTTCAATATTTGCCGAAAGGAATATTGCGATATGTACAACTCTCGAGCCATTTTTCGGCCACTGCGACGCGGGTTTCGATCAAGTCGCTTCTTTACTTTTCGAACCATTTCTGCTGATGTTTCTCTTTTCTTCCATCCACTTCCTTGACGTCGGGCTACGCTACCAGTATCACGGTAACGAGCGATGGTACGAGACACAAACGATTTATTCACATTTAAATGCTGGAGTGCTCTAACGATATCACGCTTGAATTTCATCACGAATAACTTTGTTTCTGGAAAGTTCTCTCCAAAATGCTTTTGTACGCTTGTAAACAATATAATGATCTGTCACTGGAATAATTTTAACATCTGTCGGACGAGTGGTTTAAAAAATGACAGCTGTCTGAAGTTGGTTGCAGTTTTTCCGTCTCCGGTCCAAGTTTGGACCGAATCTGTTCAGTTTCCTTCGAATTCATATTTAGGCCATCATAAGGTTATAATGTTGAGCGTTAACTTTTGATCTAAGATATTAAAAAATTGAAACTAAGTATGTGAACATTTGTTCTGATTTGACTATTTCACATTTTCATTCTCACTAACTGAGGGGATATAACTACTTCCCTTGCAATAGTCTCAGGCACTTTTTTAATATATTCTTGATCTTTAACCCATATTTATGTGAAACTGTTTATTTGAAATGCAGCTAACCAGGCCATGAGCCCTTATTGTCTTCGACACTGCCAAAACGTTTCAGCCTATAGTTGTATACTGTTTTTTGTTATTGCAAATTAAATAATAAAAGTTTGAAATTTTTCTAAACCCAATTTATTGTCGTATTTATTTAGTTGCAATTTTTAAAAACTCCTTCCCCGTTCCCCCAACCCAAAAATTATTTGTTTCACCCCATCTCTTCTAAAAATTCCAGTTGACTCAAGACTTTGCACTCGGGTTTCGGGTTAAGAATCTTATATTCATAGTGTTATTATTGTTGCCTGATTTTATTATGTTGGGGCAATTTTTGTCTTCCTCCTTTTGTTTGTTTGTTTGTTTGTTTTGCTCTTTTTTATGTGTAAAGATAACTTTAAATATCCTTAGGATATTTATGACGAATGGGGAATTATTTTTTTATTTTTCGTTTTTTGCTTCAACATAGACAACGTCTTCAATGTCTCTTGCAAATTCTTTGCCTTCGAAAGGATGGATAGATGAATGGATGGATTTGTGTTCTGTGTTTTTCAACTTGACTTTGGTGCCACAACAAATTAATCCGAAACTCGGGCTAGGAATATGCAACATGACTGAACCAATGTGAGTTCTTAGAGGACGGACAGATGGGTGGTCTATGAGGCTAAACAAACTGAAAGTTGATGTCGAAGGAATTAAAAAAAAGGAAAATATGAAAAATAAGAATATTCAAAAGATGCCGAGTTGTTTGTTTGTTTTTCGTTCTTGGATTATATGCAGGCTGCTTATACGTCTTCGACACACTACCAGAAAAATGCATGGCAACCCAAAGCCAACCAAATAAAACAGAATTCCATTAAATAATTGCTCAAGTTTTTCATAATTCCTTTTTGTTGTTGTGCTGCTGCTGCTATTATTGTTGTGTAAATACAAAATACAAAAAAAAAAAAAAAAATAGCATTCAAAGAATAAAAGAGAATTTCCCATAGAGTTATTAAAGTTCGTAAAGAGCAATAAACAAAAACAAAAAAAAAAAAAACAATAGTTTGAGGGCTTCATTGGGAAAATATATATTTGTTTGTTATTGTTATTAATAAGTTATAAATCCTTGTGGATATTTAAAGAAAGCAAGCATCAAGTGGGGCTGTAAAAGTTTTGCATTGTTGTAAAGTAAAAAAGAAAAAGGAAATGAAATTGGGATTTTTAATATGAGAAAAACAGTTGAAAATTTAATAATTTTAATTATTTTTAATTTAATAGAAGATGATGTGATTATAAGGGAGATATGAAAAAAGTACTGCAAAGCCAAACATGGTTGCTGAGAGGACTCGTTTTGAAACAGTTAAGTAAATATTCTTCAGATGGGACAAACTATGAAATATTAGTTGAAAAGTTGTCAAAGTTGGGGTTTAGTCTAAATGAAAAAAAAAAACCACCCAGTAAAGAAAAGTCAAAAATCGGGCGGATCCGACTATATGGTACCCTACACAACTGTGCATATTTAGTAGAGCTCCCGTAATAGTTTGCTATGTAGTGCATGATATCACTTGGAGAAGGGTTATATTAAAGAAATATATATCGGATCCGAGTTCCACCAAATGGAAACTTACGTCCCGAAATTCACTTTATTTCGACTGATATTAGCCATTATTTGCACAATATACCTAAAATCGGATTGAGGCTATATATGGGAACTATATCCAAATCTTAGCCGTTCTCGATAAAATTTGGCAAAGGTATGCATAATGCATGTTACGAATGTGAGGGACTTAAACACCAAATCGGATGAAACATATATATGGGACCTATAGTTACATCTGAACCGATTTTCTCCAAATTTGATGTCGATTATGTCAAAATTCAGGTCATTTGGACTGATATTGGCTATTTGGTACACAATTAACCCGAAATCGGTTGAGGGTATATATGGGAGCTATATTAAAATCTGAACCGATCTCGATAAAATCTGACAGAGTTCTTTTCAAGCAGCTTGTGATGTTCGGTACCAATTATCATTATTCTGGAGTGCATATTACGCATATGAGGGACTTAAAACCTCAAATCGAATGAAACATATATATGGGATCTATAGCTATATCAGAACCGATTTTCTCCAAATTTGATACTATAGGTAGGTACAGATATATTAGGGGCTACACAAAGACCCAAGACATCCATAGACAATTTTCTGTCATAGAAGTAGTCATTAGGAACTTCATATACGAAATTTGAACCAATTCTGGTGAGTTATGTCGCTGAAATCAGCAAAATACCGAATATGGGGAGGTACCGTTATATAAAGGCTGTACGAAGACCTGGACTTTCGTAGACAATTTTCTGTTGTAGACAGAAATAACCATTAGTAACTTCAAATGCGAAATTTTAAACAATTCTGGTGAATAATGTCACTAAACTCATAAAAATACCAAATATAGGGAGGTACCGATATGTAGCGGCTATACGAAGACCTGGAACTGAATAGACAATTTTCTGTCACTGAGTTTCGTTTCCAGAGCTTCTTGCAGAGAGTTATGTCCTTGAAACGCATTTGGTCGGTCGGGGCTATAACTAAACGTGGTTCATTTTCAATACCAAAAGTCCTCCAGACGAAACACACATCTGAGTAAAATGTTATCAACCTAACTCAATTTGTTTCCACAGACGGACAGACGGTCATCGTTAAATCGACATAGAATTTATATATATATATATACATTTTCTTGTGGGGTGTAAAATGTATATTTCAAGGTGTTACAAACGAATGACAAGCTGAATATACCCTTCATACTATGGTGGAGGGTATAAAAATATGTCAAAAATATTGCATCAATTTTTCCAATAAAACCCGAAAAAATTCTCTAATTTTTTGAACATTTTTTCCTCGATTTTTTAGCTGACAAATGAAAGTAACATACAACTTCGTTTAAGGTGTAAGGTGTCGAAGGAAGAAATCTGCTTGATTTTCTCCATAGTTATAGTTTGGCACAGTGACACAGTGTTATTGAATAGAACCCGTCCTAAAATAAGTTTAATAATTAATTTGTAAAATTGATATCCTCTCGAAAAACTCAAAAAAAAAAAAAATATCCATAAAATACTTTCAAACGACGTTTGTTCAATTCACTTAAAATCCGCATTCAATATCAAATTGAGCTGATTTCATTGTTATTTCCCCGTCGTTCAACCATAATTTTCATTTCAACTATTTCCATTGGACAGCAAATATTTACCTTTTGTTCGCTCCATTTAGTCAATAAATGTTGAAGTAATTTGATATGCCTTTGGCATTCAGTTTTTGAATTCACATTCAAATGATTGCTATATTTTATTTATTTGTTATTTATTTAATATTTCCTTTTTTTTGTTTTTACTTTTAGAAATATTTATTTAATTTCCCTACACACAAAAACCCCGAATCTATTGACATGGCCCAAAAAAAAAAAAAAAAAAAAATATCATCTGCATAACGAAAAGAGAAAAACTGAACGATAGTCGTACAAAAATACACATCATATATATTACAACCAAATGCATATGCATCCACAAAAATTATGGCATACAACCGCCTGTGGCATGCAGTGAACCTCCCATGGGCACATCAATAAACATTAATTAGAAAATCTCAAAAATTTATCAATTACTCTTAACAAATTGAACTGTAAATTGTCCGAATTTCAATTTGGGGCGCTAAAATACCGCAAAATTTTAACAATTTGTTTTCTGGTCAAATCTATTTTCCCACCAACATGGCCCAGCCAGCTCTATTGGGAGAGTAGTCAGATATTTTTTGTATATATTTAATGGAAAACCCGATGCGGTGTGGTATTTGTGGCACACTCGGCCTGTCATCTAAATGTAATGGAAGCCTGGGAGGTTAGTAAACATTTGTTGGTTGAATGATTGTCCAACTTACCTTAATTAATTTGATAATTGGCCAAAAAGCTGGCAGGCAGTCAACCCAGTGTTATGTTGCAACAGTATAGTCTTTCTATTGGGAATATCTGAAATGAACAATTGTATTTATTTAATATATTATGATTTATTTTTAGAGAAATTGTATTAATTAAAAAGGTGTGTGGTACGCGCAATGATGGAACATTGAAGTTTTCCTCATAAAGCTCATAGGTAGAATAATTTACTATACGAGATACACGGACGGACGGACATACATAAATCGACTTAAAATGTCTGTCCGTCCGTCCGTCTGTCCTTTTTTTGTAAACAAAGTACACTTCGCATTTATTGCCCTATCCAGATGAAATTTTGCACAAATTATTTGTTTGGCCCAAGGACGAACCCTATTGAAATTGGAGATAATCGGTCAAAATTTAGAAAAAGCTCCCATACACATCTTTGTCCGATTTGCTTTTTATTGTGCACCACACGTGTAACATCAGCCTAAATAGTATGGAATTTTGCGCATACGTCCAAATTAGGTCTGAAAATAAGTATGTAAAATTTGATCGAAATCGGAAACCATATTAATGTTCATCCACTTTATTATATAAATTAATTAAACATAACGTTCTTTTTCGAGTGACAAAATGGGACTGACTTTATTTTTCCTTTATTCTTAAAATTAAGTTTTGTTGGACAATGTATTTAGTGCAACGTTAGCACTTTTGATTTTATTATTTCTTAGAGTTAGGTTTCTTAAAATGTAAGCATTTATCTGTTGTTTATACGAATGAATGACATGAATGCATTGTAAGCATTTTGCAAGCATATTTAAGTGCCATCGAACTTGCACGCGCAACAGAAACAGAAATAAAGAAGTTAACGTTAACTCCTCCCCTCTTTAAACCGAGCGTCCTCGATCGGTCAAAAATAGGGAATATGAGAAATTCTTCGTATTCCCGGCAATTCCACTACTTCCGGCATAGGAACACGATTACGTGCGTCATACGGACATGAATCTGCTATAGACGGGGTGAGTATAATTTCTTTTCCCCTTTTGCAGATCTTGGACCTTATAATGAAAACGATTATCAATATTATCGCGAAGGAGGTAAGTCCAAAATTTGTGGTTTGACCCCACTCGTATTTGCCTCCCAATAAATTTATGGCTTTTGTGTTACTAATTTGAATTTCTTTAATTGACTCTAAAGAGAGCGTCTCTTCTATACTGAGAACAGACTCCCTAGGTTGCAGAATCGCCGGTAATGGTTGAATATGGCTTATTTCAAAAAAGGAATATGATTTGTCGGAAATACTTAGTGTAGTGTTGCTATATTGGATGACATACGATCCAATAAGTCTTTGTGCAACATTATTTATTAGGATTGTTTCATTGAAATTATTTAACAGGATTACCCCTGGAGAAACTTCTTCAACTGTTGGTACTGTTTTGTTATCAGTTACCGTGCAATTCGATGTCTTGCTATTTAACAAATTAGAAATACAGGTGTTATTCTCTATAGCTTCTAAGTTTATGCTATTACACATACTTATATTATTGTATTTCATGCATTCACTCTTGATTCCGTATAATTTTAAATCTTGTTTGCACATTATTACATTTTCGAATTTTAATTTATTGACGAACTTCTCAAATTTTATAGGTTTCAGTAATAATCTATTACAAACTTTGTTGTCTGTCATTGGTATTCTAATAATATAAATGATAGATTGATTATTAGTTGCGATTTTTATTTGAGCAAATTCAAAGATTTCTTCTACATTAACAAACGGTATTGAATCTTTTTCAATTATATTTTTAATAATATTTATCTCGTCAGATGAAAGTATGAATGAGTTTACAATTCCTATTTTTGCCCAATGGATAGCGTATTGAATATTTACAATTTCTTGTTTTAATATTTCTATTTTAAATTTTAATTTTGAACTTAATCTATCTCTGTTTACATCACTGTAATTTATACTTTTTATTATTTCATTAGTTATTTGTGTTAACTCATTAATTTTTCTCAATGACAATTTGTTAATTACAACTTGTTTATTATTGTTTTCTAGAACTTCATTAGTTTTCTGAGTTATTATTTCAAAATCATCGTGGTCTGGATTTCCAGCAATCCATTTCCACGCTGAACCTATAAAATTCAATGATCGTTTATTTTTCACGTTTGGCTTCAAACGGTCCAAGTATCCTTGAATCTCTGTCAGCTCATGGGTTAGGAAGGGATGAAGGAAATGGTGTTTGGTTATGTTCTGGGAAAGGATGTTTTGTAGGGAATTTATTGTTTCTTGATATTTGTCGATGTCAATGATATGAATTATCCTGAAGTTACCATCTTGAATTTTTGCCAAACCGGAATCAAACGCAACAATTTGAGAGTTTGTATAGTCCGTGGCGAATAAAAATCTGAAAATATTTGATTTCTTAATTTCTGATATTGTTTTTGTGTACGGTTTTTCCTGATTCTGTAATAACAGTTGTATTTTGGTTTTCTTTTACTATTTCTTGTCTGTATGCCTTACTTAACTTTGTCCCAAGTCTCCTATTCTCTTTTACGAATATGATTTCTCCTGGCGTATAGGTTTTTGGTTGAGTCCTTTTCTTATTGTGGTAGTTAATATCTTCTGCTTGTTTTTCTTTAAGCCTTTGGGCAATTTCGGATCTTTCTTTCTCTATATCATCCTGACTCATGTTTGCCCTTTTTCCAAGAAATGCTTCAACTGGTTTCTTTTGAATGCTTGAGTGTATTGTGTTATTATATTCGTAAATGGATCTATGTAAAAGCTCTGAGAAGGATTTGTGTAAGTTCTGTGCTTTTAGACATCGCATTATCTCTGACAGTGTAGAGTGGAACCGCTCAATTTGCCCATTTACAGTACTACTGTACGGCGGGATTTTGAACAATTTGATGTTGTACTGATTTTCTAACATGAAAACTATTGCTTTGGAATTAAAAGATCTTTCGTTGTCGATAACTATTATTTCAGGAATTCCAAAGGATATGACTAATTCCCTAAGTGGTTCTTTAATGTCTTCTGCTGATCTTGATTTCAGAATTTTTGCTTGAGCGTATTTAGAAAACTTGTCTATAGCCGTCAATACGGATGTCTTTTCGGTTATGTAAATGTCTATGTGAACAATCTGTCCAGGATTTTGTGGGATAGGTGTTTCCTGTAGGCCTATCTTATTAGGATGTCTATCGTATTTGTTTTCTTTGCAAACTTTACATTGATCGACTATTTTCTTAATTTTAGCTTGCATTCTGGGAAAGTAGTACTTTGTCAATAACTGTGCTTTATTTTCTACGCTATTTCGGTGTGCTCTATTATGTTCAGCAATAATCTTGTTTTCTTGGTCTTCATCATTTTTCAAGTCGGTTACCATTTGTCTTGAATATTTGACTTTGTATTGTGTGAAATTATCACGGAACACTTCTTGCAATACTCCCAAGATTTCGTCATTAGTCTTTAAGCAGTTTGTTACCGATGGGTTTAAATATTTCTTCAAAATGTCTCTGAGAAATTCTGGTGTAATATTTCGTTCATTTATAGTATGTCTGTGATAAGTTGGAAAGACAATTTCAAATTTATAAGATGGTTCATCATCTTCTGAAGAGATGAGAATTTGATTCTTAAATGCGTTTATCGGAGCGTCAGTGTATTGTATTAAATTATGAGATGAGCTTTCATGACTGTGTTGGGTCGAAGTCAGAGCATTTATCTCTTCTGGTTCTTTAGGAGGTCTTGATAGTGTATCGGCAACTACATTTGTACTACCGGGTTTGTATAGTAATTCGTAATTGAATTCCTCAAGGAAGGCTTTCCATCTTCTTAGCTTGAAATTAGCTGTTTTATTATTCAATGCGTATGTCAGTGGAAGGTGATCGGTATAAATTTTAAGTTTGGCAGAACCGTAAAGGTAGTTTCTGAGGGATTTGAGAGCCCAAGTAATTGCAAGCATCTCCTTTTCGTTTGTTGCATAATGTTCCTCTTCCTTTTTGAAAGTTTTAGACAAAAATACAATTGGTTTATTATCTTGTGAAAGCACTGCGCCCATTGCATAGTGCGAAGCGTCCGTAGTAAGTTCAAATTCTTTATTAAAATCGGGATATGCCAATATTACGTCTTCCGATGACAATATTCTCTTTAATTTATTAAAAGCTTCTACTGCTTCTTGATCGAGATCTATGGCCATTTTATTGGAAACGTATTTGGACGCACGTCCTGCCTCCCCCCTTAAATATATTGTCAGAGGTTTAGAAATTTTGGCATAATCTCTAATAAAGCGTCTGTAGAAATTACAAAGTCCTAAAAATGATCTTAAGTCTTTTAGTGTTAACGGAAGTGGAAATTTTTCTATTGCTTCAACCCTTTTTGGGTTTGTTTTTATACCGGAATCGGATATTATGAAACCTAGGAATTCAACTTCTTTTTTCAAAAATTCACATTTGTCGAGTTGTACCTTTATATTGGCTTTCTCTAATGTCTCGAATATGGTTGAAATATTCTTGAGATGTGAATCTTCATCCTCTGCGAATATTATTATATCATCCATATAGATGAAACATATTTTGCCAATGTGCTCCCTAAGAATGTCGTCCAAGGCTCGTTGGAATATGGACGGAGCATTTTTCAAACCAAATGGAAGTCGAGTGAATTCGTATTTTGCATTATTAATAGAAAAGGCAGTTTTTTCTCTATCACTTTCCCTAAGTAATATTTGGTGAAATCCACTTTTTAAATCTAATACACTAAACAGTTTATTTTTCCCTATTTGTGGTAGGATTTCATTTATTTCTGGGATGGGATATCTATCTCGAATTGTCTCCTTATTTAATTTTCTATAGTCTATCACCATTCTGTATTTCACTTTGCCTGATGCATCCGATTTTTTTGGCACGATCCAGATGGGTGAATTGTATGGTGACCGTGAAGGTCTAATTATACCTTGATCGAGGAGTTCCTTTATTTGTTTTTCTACTTCTCCTTTCAAATGCATAGGGTAGGGATAAAATTTTGAATAAACTGGTTCGACATTGGTAGTCTGAATATCGGCGACTACTGTCGTAGTGTAAGTAAGTTTTTG